AATGACTGAGCCATCGACACGGGAACACATTTATAGGTACAATTCATATATATATATATAACGTAATAAACATTAATTCAACCTGTTGAAATGTTTAAACAATCTTCTTTGTTTTATAGACTAGATGAATATGATTTCGATTTAGAATTTAAGTTTCTGTACTCATCAGTTTTGCGGCACTTTGTTATTGAAGTATGATTTTTTCGTACTCATCATGTAAACAGGAACTTTTGGTGTATGAGACGCTTTTATCTTATTATTTTAGAGTCTTTGCATTGGCTAGAAGCGCCGGGCTAATTCCCGGTTGGCTTGCGACTTCTGATTGACGATTATGGCGATTATGTTGAGTAGATGTTTCGCCTTTTCGCTCATAGGATTCATCTGCCTTCAGTAGAGTACGCGGCAAGATTTACCTTTCTGGTAGTCTGCTATAGCTTATCATGTTTTAGAAGTTACCAGAGTCTACATGAAACTCAGACATATCGATCGGGCGGCACAAAGTACACAAAGAATATTTCGTGTCTCGTAGTTTGTTGTTGTGGGGCACACGAAAAATCGGACATACACTAGCTTCGAATTTTTTAGTTGCGACACATCCCACTCATGCGCCTATCATATATAACAGCGTATTATGATAGCGTACGAGTGGCCTGGTTAACCTAACCTAACCATAAGCTGCAAAGAACAATAATAATCCTTCGTAACCAGCACTGTTCGATGCGTAACCCAATTTGACTTTGTAAAGAAAATAAACTTATTTTTAGAGAAGTATGCATATACTTTTAGGTCAGCATAAGAATCATAGCATCCATCCTCATGCTTTAGACGTGCCTCCCGTTTCAAGTAGGCCGACCTTTTTTGGCCTTCACCGATTTACATCATCGTATCCTTACAAGTAACAAGTATGAGGGTCCCGCTCTTGACTTAGAAGAATCGCAGGGTGGACAATATCAGAGCTAGGATGGCGAAATGACATCATAGACTGAGATTAGACGAGAACTTTGGTTTTCAGCGTAATATGTGGCAATCCAAATTCCATTGCATTGAATTGTCTCAAATAAAATATCCTGTAATATACTTATGATATGCTGCCTCTACAACTCTACCCAACCATACCATGCTTGAGAAAAACCCTGTGGATGCAAATGAGCCAGCTGCAACGATTTTTACCATTGAGATACATGCTACAGGTAAATATATTGGAATCAAACTTCAAAAGTAATTAAACTGACAGTCATTTTTTTTAGTGATCCAACCATTTAAAATTGAGACATTTTATGCCGATCAGGCGTTTTTTAGTGACAGCATTGCAGCATACGCCGAGAGCACCTAGGAACAAGCATTGAGGCGCCATGCAATATGATGACACACCGGCAAATAGCGTCAACTGAAGACACGAAGCATATTAAATAGCTATGCTGCTTCTAAGGGCAAGGGAAATCGATCTTCATCTTTGTATTATTAATGATAACTGAAATGTGCGTTGTTGGAGCGGCCTTCTAGTACAAAAAGTATGGCGTCTTTCCACCGAAATAACAAGAACTCTGTTTCCCAGTAAAATAAAATTACAATGAGTTTGACATTACGGAAAAGGTTTTTTTCGGTAACAAAGAAAAGACGCATACACTAAGTCACATGAGCTCATATTTATATCATACACAGCTTTCGATCTAATGGCAGTAAAGAACCAGTACAGAATATTTGAGATAACATGTATAAGAATCCAAGCAACTACGACAAAAGTCGACTAGTTTTAAGCCATTTGGTAAATGGGAACGCAGCAAGTACGAAACTCTGAGTAGTTTCTGTTCGGAGCATGCTATGTACACGTATCAACTGGAAAGTCTTGAGCTCTGTCGACACAGCTGTGACAAGTAACTTTGGAAAAAATCCTGGTTTTTTAGTGCATTGCACAGCCGTTCAGCCTTCTATGTGCGCATACTAACACGTCTGAGAAACTGCTCTCAGATGAAGTACCAAACCAGACGACAGCATTTGGTTCACAGTCCACGCTGCTCCTTAACGTGATGATTAGAACAATAATTATGAGGGGTAAAGGCTCAGGTAAGGTGGCCTTCATTAAATCAAGCTCAGGCTACACGCTCCCCATTTAACACTGCAAGCATTTTTTGACCATCATCAGCTCTCAGGAGAGCATAGCGTGAACTGATCATATAAAGATATATATCATAATTAAGTACTACGTAATGACAAATACTTGTTGAACACCGTAGACAGGCCTAAATAGTCCATATCGAACAACCAGTTCCTTCGGTAAAAATCGTATGGAAAGTTACCATGTTAAGGCACTCAAATTTTGATAAAAACATCATAGAGCAACTTACAGCTAAAGCCGAGTACGACTTTTATCGTTAAGAAAGAGCACAGAAGAAGGCTCGTCTGTAAATTCTCAGCACTTCTGCAGCGGAGTTTTCTGCATGCATTCACAGGCTAACTGTGTGATCCGTGATTCCTGAACAAGTTTAGGCCACTACTAAGCCTGCACGTTATTCCTATCCAACAACAGCGAATACGCTTCAGTCGAAAGGCAATCTATTTCGTACAGTGAGGCCTACATCGATTGCATTTTAATTCGCGTTTACAAATACATCCCGTCATCCGCGCTCTGCTTCACTGGGAGAAACTGTATTTATTAGTTTACAGTGGTACCACAACAAATGAAAGCTGACTATCCTTCAATCTGTTTTGTCTTGTACCTGTCAGGAAGGTACCCAAGGGAAGTAGTTAAACCTGTCAAAATAATAGACGTTTTGGAACTGACTCGTACTAGCGGAAAGGTGTGCCCCACGCGGGTTTACCTGATGATGTAGCAGACGACCACTCTGAACAAAGAAAGTAGTGATTTTTCAATGTGGCTCAAATCTGTAGATCGGTTCGGTTAACAAGAGTTTTCAACACTTCTGAGTTAATTGTAATAAATGAACCAGTGGATATGACAATGACATCACCAAGCTATAGCAACGAGCCTTGGAAAGCTTTGGAAAAGCTAGTCATGGAGCGAGGCAAAGTTGAAATAGAGAAGTTATTGAAGAAAAGCACAAGGTAAACAACATATAACAATTACGCACGCGAGCTAACGAAGCTACAAAATAATATTTGAATAACGATTGAGCTACTAGAAATAACTGAAATAATACAATGATCGATTTAAAGAAACTTTGCTCGTAAAGCTCCTACGAACTATTCGTATCGGCGTATCCTTAAAACTGGCCTATTTTTAATACGCTGCTTTTATAGGTTTCTAGACGGTGCACCAGATTACAAGCCAGTATGAGCCAATGACTAAGCAACGATTCATTGAGTTGTGTACTTTGTTAGAGAAAAGCACTTGTTTGCAAAGGGACGCAATTTAATTACAAGTAAATGTCAATGGAGGGAATTTTTAGTTCCGATCGTCTGCCTGGAGTGCTTCGTAACTTCTGGTTTTGACGCTTTTTTTGAGGTTTTTTGTACAGACACCACCTTATTATACAAGGCAAGTAATAGACAACAAAAACTCGAGTTATCCGGATATATACATAAATGCGAATAAGCGAAATAAATAGCCAACGAATTGTCACTGGCATTGACCACGTAAAATTCACTAAAAAAGTACTACAGAGGAATGTTGTTGTTGCGCGTTGCCTGTTATCTCCTAATTTGCCTGGGCATCATTAGAAAAAGTGGCGGCGACCCAGCCCATGTAAGGCCACTAACAGACGAAAAATATTTTCGCAGATAAGGTAGGTTCGCAGGCGCTGCGTAGACACTACTCCGAATAGTGTCAAATGAACCACGGACGGCGTTTCCTTCTAATGTGGCATGCCAAGAAGTCGTCATTCTAATAAACGATGTCATATTATATCTCTATATTGGTCATAGCAATAACTTTATCATTAATAACTATTTCGATTGGCAAAAAGAGTAGTAAATTTATATGTAGCCGCCGTATAGAACCGTGTTCGGTCACACATGGCGCTAGCTAACAGCTGCCGAGTGAAATCTTAACTCGTGTAGGATTAGTTTAAGAGGGGATTTGCTAGATACAGTCGCCATCCATTCAATGTCCAAACAATTTACCTGATCTTAATGAAGCAGCACTCCCATTTTTTGGTTTTGCCTGTGCGTTTCGACTCACTACCGTTAACTGGACGAGTAAAAATGGGCCGGGACGCGGATCAAGGACCTATTACGATCTAAAGGTAGAATTTTAGAACCCGAATGCTTCTTTGGCGGAGTATTTTTACAAAGCGGGCTAAAAATGTAATAAGTTCGCCAAATATTCTGGCCCACTTGCCTAGCGAAATTCTGATGAGAAGCAATCGATTGACCATTTATAAGTTGTTAGTGAAGAAATTGTGCACATAACACGAAACCAACGTTTCCGCCGAACTTAGATCGTCACATTTACCGATGAAATGATCCAATGTCACAGCCTCATATACCTAGAGGGCATCCATAGCCGACGTGGGACCTAGCTCGCGTTAAGTTGAGAATTCGTTGTATTCGACCATTGACGTGACCTATCGTACCTGCAGCTGACATGACGACCCATCACTAGCAATGCTAGCCTATCTGCCTATATGTCCATAAAAGCATGCGCGTTTATCGGTCGCCGTTTCTGCGCGCGGCGTTTCGAGCAGTGTAAAAACACGCGCAGTCATGAAAATACACAGCTCTAGCAGCAGGAGCCTGGAGACGCGAGCCAACAGGAAATCCGATTGGTGGCAGTCTAACTGCTGCCATTGCGGTTGAAGCCGATGCGATGACCAGCTACAACTCGCTGGGCTCTATTGCTTACGATATCACTTTAACTAAGGCTTGATCGATTCTGTCGGACAGGAACAAATGAGTCAGTAGCTCTCTTTTTGCACAGACGGCCCATCTAAACTATTCAGATGTACTGGCTAGTTCAGCCTACACCAAGACAAAAATGGCAATAGTTATGAACACCTAACCTAGCACTTCGTATCTCTGTAGTAGTTGGCAAATGTACTCACGATTCGTCACGTTGAGGTCCGGAGGGGAGCAGAGTTCTGGGACGGACTAGTGTTTACAGCAGCCTGTAACGACGGCGTTAAAGGACTGAAAAATCTCCTTCTCGGGCGAACGGTTGGAGAAGGACCAGACAAAAAAAAAAACAAAAAAACGAGCGATAGAGAATAGCAACAGTGTTGCGGAAAATGGTGTACTTTCTACTTTCTCGATCAATTAAGACGAGGTCAACATTCGATCGGATACGGTAGAGCGGTTAAATCGTTTTAACATGCGAACGTATCGGTATACTTGAGTTCTTGTTCAGTACAATTGGATTAGACAAGTGTTGAATAGTCAAACTGTGGACCTATATACGTAATTGGCTCTACGGAATTAGCGTCAGCGTATGAGATGTTATAACAGTATCACTGCACAAAATAGCGACGATCCGGCTGAATACTAGTGGCCACCATCATCGTCGGCAAAGAGTCTTCTCAACTGCGCTGGTTAACCACCAACGCTGATGTCGATGAATAATTACGATAACCACCACCACAACAACAACATCAACAGTAACAAAAGTAAGAAGCACAACAACAACACCAACAATAACAAAAGCAACAATCGAAAATACAACGAAAACAGCAGTAAGGCTTGTTGTAGATTTAGCACTTTTTGCATTATTAGTAGGCGAAGTCGAATGGAACGATGAAGCAGCATCGCCGAGGCGCAGTGTCGATCGTCATCGCTGCTGCTGCTACAACAACAACGACGACGGCCAGCAGTTACACCGCGGCCACAAATAATCGTCTTAATGTTATCGCAGCATCCAGCTGGAAACGACGAGACAGTGTAACAAGAACAACAACCGCTGTTAACGGCGACGAAACAACGAATCGCATTGGTACCGCGTCAACTTCGATCCAGCCACAAAGCTCACGGCTCCTGTAATCTTTCGACAGCTGAGCAGAACTGACTTAGATAAAACGGGAACAAAATGTTCCGTAATTAGCTGATTAGAAAAGTGATTAGAACTTATCTGATTAGAAAACTGTGTGACACAAACTGGGTAAGCGATGGGTGACCGGTGACGTTCCACTGAAATTTTCCACTTTGTCTGTGTTTGTCCCGTAGCTACTGGCGTCGGTAAGTTGCTCTCCTCGACACCTCTGCTTTGTCTTTATCCACGGTCCAGGAGCACTTATATTAAACAAACAATCATCAGGAGAGAGCAATGACGTGAACACGCACAATAACAGCAGTGATCTCGTCTCACTACGACCACCATTATCAGCTAAATTCAGTACAACTTGTCAGCGTTTGTGTCCGATTCATTTGTTGCTCGGTCAATTGTTTCTAGCCGTTGTCATCTATTCTGTTGTCGTTTACCAAGGAGACATTTGACGCTGCTGACACGCCACCGATTCGAAGCTCATCATATCACACCAACATGCTGTTCAACACGCGTCGTCATCCGCCTTCTCAGCAGCCACAGCAGCGAGGAGAACTTCAGTTACGCTGGCAGTAACAGCAGCACTGACATCAGCATTAATGCCAACCACACATTGCTGCCGCTGATGCTGTTGAAACTGTTGTGCTGCTTTCGACAGTGACAACAGCGTTGACAGCACCAGCGACAGGATCCTCTTGACCCTTTCTTCTGGACGGTGATTGAGCGCTCACCCGCTCACTCATTCATCCAGCCATTTATCCATTCCGGCTATTACAATGGCGACCACAACAGTCTCGACGACGCTCTTGCTGACGCTGATAATGATGACAGCGGCCACAGCAGCAGCCCCCGCGAAGGTACAGATGTGCCCTGCCGCGGCGCCAGCTACGTCTATTATCACACTGGGATTTGCAGCTGCTGAAGATCGTAAAATACACTGATCCTGATCCGAATAATGACGCTAGAACTACTTGTCGCACCAAAGAAGCAGTGGCGGCGGAAACAAACTGGAACTTTGGGCCTACTTGTTTGCTGGAGTCCGCTTATTTTCACGTGCCTTTGGCCAAGTTGCACGTCCGAGGACTTTCTGCACTTTGTCATCTATGTGCTCGATCCCCATCTGTACCAGTCAAAGTTATTTTCGTCGTCCTTTCATTGCTACTTGAGAATGTGATTGTGCTTCTGGGGCTGTTGCTATTTTTCGTGGTTGTTAGAATAAATCATTGGAATAGTGGAATTAACTGGCTGGTTATTTAGCTATTTCGTCGATTGTTGTTGTACCTTGTCCTTTCTCGATCGCTGGCCATTTGCTAGACGTCCACTGGGGCCGTTGTCAGTACAACAGCAGGCACCACGTAAAAGGTATCCTGTCAATCCGACGGCCAGACAGCGCTCGCAGCACAACAGAAGCAGTAACTGCAATTGTCGCTTGCTCGCCTTCCGCTACCGCCTCGACTCGACCAGTCCAGTATATTCGTAGTTTGTCTATCTGACCGTCTGGAAAAGGCGGACCGCCTAACCAGCTGACCGATGGCACGTCCGATTACCGACTGACCAAACGAACGAGCGAACGAAACACTGCCGACTGCTGCTGGGTGAAGATTTCTATTACTCCTCTTCCAGCAGCTGCTACTGCTGTCCGGCTCGTATATACCTGCTCCTACAGCTGTCACTGCCTGGCTCGCACCGCACGCATCAACGCTAAAGGCGGCTCTACCGCCAGTAAACGGTGACGGTGACGGTGGCGGTGGCGGTGACGCTAAGCACCGATCGCGGGACGATGGCTGCGACGCTAAAACGTGGCCACGGTCGGAGCAAGACGAGCCACCATCAGCACCGCCGCTGTCATCTTCGTCTACTATTACCAACTAACCTTATCGTCACTACTACTGCTTATGAAGACCGTGCTCCCTTTGCGGCATCAGCGCCGTTGCCAGCAGCAGCAGCAACAACAACAACAACAGTAAAGGGCCAAAGCGAGGAGTGCCGTCGCTGCGCCAGCAAAGCAACCGGCCGACCGGAGATGCGGCGAGGAACGCGCCAGCCAATACGTGCAAGCAGTTATAGCCTAGTGCCATTGGCGTCCTCGTCGTTGCCGAAACGCCGTCGCACTGCTGCTGTTGCTGACGCCGCCGCAAATGGATGTGGTTTCGTCGTAGTAGTGGATCGAATGTTTCCCTCCGCTTCGACCGCGCGCGCGCACGACCACCGCCGCCGCTGTCGTTGTCGTCGGCACTACCCACTCACAGCCATAAGACAGAGATGATAATGATGTCTGTTGATAGTGATTGTGGTAGCAGCAGGCAAACGAGAGGGGCATGCAGGCAACAACAACACAGGCAATCTGGAAAATAGCTGGGTCTAGCCAGCTAATGCTGGTTCAGCTGTAGGTACATTAAATATTTTTTGTTCTTCAAGGTGATGCATTTTACTTTGGTTTACCTGATAGCAGCCTGAGATATCGGGGCCAAATCAGCTGAAAACTAACCCTTTTCACCTTTCGGTAGCGCAAGGCGATCATTATATTCTGCGTACCTGTTTTCCGCTCTACAAGCATTACGCTGTCAATTTCTCTCTAGTTATTCTACCTTATATATATATATATATATATATATATATATATATATATATATATATATATATAAGGCAAAGCCTGGAAGAAAAATACCGGATCGAAATTCTTTACTGTATGTAAGTACTAGAGTTAGCGCCGTCCAGAGTTAGCTTTGTATAGCTTAATGCCCAATCCTAAAAATGACGCATGGCCATAACAGTGCTTCCTCCACCCGTGGAACCAGTGCGCGCCGTTATTTAAATTGCCCTTTCCGCAGAGCGGGTCACGTGGTTTTGTTTACGATCGGGCACGTGAGGTTGAGTTCTAGTGCTGTCGCTCTTCGAATCTCGTATATCGACTGTACCGTCAATGTGAGCCTTTTCGATACCCTCAGGAAGTTAATGATAGCTTTGTGGCTGCGAGCAATTACGTGCCGTAAGCATTTTAGGTACATTTATAGGAAGGTACATACAGTCATATTCAAAGATGGGTAAAGCGGACAAAATTTCCGTGGTGAAAAAAGTCCGACATGCTCCGCTGGCGGAACAGATCGAATCGGAAGGAACCGTAACAGCGACAGGTCGTGTGAAGAATCGACGCAAAAGAGACCCCGATCAACAAGATGAGGTACGTGACATAGGTCAAGTTGAATGCGCTACCCGCAGGGCCACAATATAGTAACTATGAGAACTTTTACAATAAATTACTATTAAAAAACAAGGTCTTCTACTAACTCCTACGCATGGTAACCGCTGATTAGTGTTGGAGTACTTTCTGATATGAAATGCTCAGAAGAGTGCAGCTTATTATCGGTTAAGGTCGTACAAGATTTTTACCAGATTAAGTCGTACGACCTTGTATACTTATCTTCTACAAGATAAGTATATGGTATTCCTCACGTGAGTTGCTTCCCAGATTTGCTGAGTCGATTTCTAGATTACGATTATGTTAATCTAGAATAATAATAATTTATTTAGCTTGTTGGAGGCTTCATTTAAAAAACCCGTTTTGAACGATCTAAAAGGTTAAAACGCATACGTTTACGTGGAAGCTTGCACGAAGAAGCGTGATTACTACCACGGACTGACAAGAAGCATGCGAAAGACAATTGCCTGCACTCTCACGAGGACAGCAGTGTACTCGACTAACTGTGTCAACCTGAAAGTGTACCAGTTAAAGTATCTACGGCTTTATTACGGGCAGACCATATACGTACGCTAAAATACTGCATCTACAATATAGGCATACGTTTCGTTAACCTACGTCCGATATTGGGCTAATCAAATGCAGAAATTCACACAGCGAACAGTTTTCAAAGCGAACATCTAGAGTCTCTTCGGATCATCACACAATATAAGAACTGACATCAAGTGCATTAACTGTGGTTGATTTCTATAATAAGATCATCTGGTGCTATCAACCACTTTCTAAAGTAATAAGGCGAATGTTTTGAAAAAAAACATCGCTTAGCCTCATCTGAACGAATACATACAGTACACAGATTAGGTTAATATTATAATTAGAATAGCCAGTTATGTAATTCATCAGCTTGCATATTTTCAAAAGAGTCTTAGAATTCATGAATGCATCTTAGAATTAACCACTTGAGACGAAGTATGCCCCCCTTCCTGTGTATGGAAATGCATGGGCGAGATTTTCGGAAATGGTGTGGTCATTAATTCAGTCGACATTCTGATTCTATCCGGGATCAATGGCGGCGGAATTATGACGCGTCTTTACAATTTATTTCAATGAATAACTCGAGACGAGCACAACAGTATGGCTAGCGTCTTGTTATTTGGTTGCGCTTTTTGTCGATAGTGCTGTTGAGTTGTTCCTATAATGAGTGTCTTAGAATACCCTTTGCTATTTACACAATGCCAGATAGATGACGAGTTAATAATGTAGTGCAGATTTAATGTCCCTCCCGAATGCTAATTAGTTTTTGCCGATAATTGTATAATTTTAGTACGTGAATTCACGGCTGACAAAACACATTCTAGCGGAAGCTCGACACCAACAGGAACATCCTGAAGATGAGGTCGAATTCTCATCTTCGGCTTCATTCGATGAACGGAGGGGCCGAAACAAGGTTGCCATCAAGGCACCGACCCTCGGTTCCGATTCAGAAGGTACGCAAAATCATTGTCAGTTTCTCATATTATTGATGATCTTGTTTGTCCCTATACTGTACCGCAATATGTTAGGATACTTTTTGCGAGTATCTCACCTTATTCTACTAGAATGTCACAAATATAGTTTCCGAGCATTTTTATGTATATACTCACCTAACCTCTCGAACTCCTTAAGACCTCAAGTGCTTAGCTTCCCTTTATCAAGTTTCAATCAGGCCATAACGCGATTTGGCTCACAAACTGCTTGTGTTTCACACAGGAGAAGATCTTGAAGAGAGCGAAGAGCGACGTATTTATGAAGCCGAAGAGTTTGAGATCGATGAAGAAGCCGCTAAACAAATGGAACTTTTCATGCGTACTAAACAAGTTAGTGGTTAAGTGATAGCAGTCATTCTTGATTATTGTTGTTTTATACATGAGTGTTTTATTTTGCATTTAGTGGCACTTTACGGTACCAGAAATAGCAGGTACATTTGGAAATTGTCCAACTTAATCTGTATATAAATCACTTATACAATGTTTTAAATTGCCGTTAAGCTTCCTCGATATTACACGTCGAAACGGCGATTAAATAATGCCAACCGCGTGTTGGCGTCTGCTATTCATATTTTTATAGGAGGAACGCCGTACGTTGGCTGACATTATTATGGAGAGGTTGACAGCCAAGGAAACAGAGGTTCGTACACAATTCTCCGATGATACACATTTTGAAGACATGAACCCAAAGGTCGTGGAGATGTATATAGGTGTGAAGACTTTGCTAAAAAAATACCGCTGCGGCAAGCTTCCCAAAGCGTTCAAGATCATTCCAGCCTTGGAAAACTGGGAACAAGTGAGTTTTATATTTTACAACTATAATATGAGACGAACATGTTGTCGAAGTGTCCTATGTGTTTATTCAATCATGCAATAGGGTTCTCCGCAAGTGATGCTTATCAATTTTGAAAACAGGTAACCGAACTTCTAGATTTGTCTCATTGGAAACATTTTTTGAAAAATTTTGACGTTCTGACTCGGACCGATGTTTATTCAAAACAGGCAGATTTTCGATAGTGATATTTTTTTCCGAAGGATGGCCTCTGAAACTTGACCACTAGTTATTTAGAGTAGATAACTAGAGTAGCAAACTTCGATAAAAATGGTCATTTAATATATTCTAATATTTTTGCGCACGTCGCTATTTAATTATTATCTTAGGATTCCTAAATTACTTTACGTTGTCAGCGGTAGGCTTCCACTTTTAAGGTCTTCGTTAAGTTTGCTTCAGGTGTAGATAGATTTAACTTTACTTATATGATTTTATGATTCTCTATTTAGGTTTTATATATAACAGAACCAGACAACTGGACAGCTGCCGCAATGTATCAGGCGACACGGCTTTTTGCGTCCAATCTGAAGGAGAAAATGGCGCAACGCTTTTATAACCTGGTTCTTCTTCCCCGCGTACGAGATGATATCGACGAATTTAAACGGCTAAACTTTCATCTTTATCAGGCACTCCGCAAAGCAATATTTAAACCAGGCGCCTTCTTTAAAGGAATCGTCTTGCCTCTCTGTGAGGTAAGCTTAATCTCTTTTTAGCCAGCTGTCCCAAGCTATAGTACACGAAGCACAAGACCTCTCCATTATAAGAAAAGAACTGCGATAATTAACAAAACTAAACAATATAGGCACTTGTTACAATAAATTTCAGCGCTTGTTCAACATAAGTATAATCAGTTACTACTAATCACGCGCACGAGGTATTATTAATGATGTAGGGTTGACTTGCCAAAAGGCTTAATATTCACTTTTCCGCGAAATTTAAGCGCAAACTTATTTTAGCCGCGATGCACTTAGTGACCGTGCAAACTCTAATAGACAAAGTTCATTGTTTATTCACAGAAAAAAAAAACCTAACTATGGACGTAACATGATTTTTCGTTACGGAACAATTTTTTCATTTGTTTCATTTTTTGTTTTTTATTCTCAGAGTGGTAGTTGCACACTTCGTGAGGCAATTATTATATCATCGGTATTGACTAAGAATTCAGTCCCAGTGCTACATGCGTGCGCTTGTATGTTGAGGTTGGCAGAAATGGAATATTCGGGTGCAAACTCAATCTTTCTTCGGGTGTTAATTGATAAAAAGTACACTCTTCCTTATCGGGTTATTGATGCACTAGTATACCACTTTCTCAGGTAAGCTGAACGAACTCGTCAAGTTAGTCTAGAACGGAACTATTTGAAGTCTCACTTTGTTATTAAGTTATTTATTAAACATCTGTTATTACCATTAGCAACTGGTTCAGATCTGTGCTTAGTTTTGCCAATTTATTGCGATTTCCATTCATGGCGATTATAATATGCTGTGTTGTTTTAAAGATATGTCGCTACGCCCATCGTTAAGTTTGAACTGTATAATACTAATATAAATGTTACCCTAATGCATGCTTACCATAGGTTCGAAACGGATCAGCGTAAGCTACCTGTCCTTTGGCACCAGTGCTTCCTGACATTCGCCCAACGCTATAAAACTGATGTCTCAGAAGACCAGAAAGAAGCATTGCTGAAACTGCTAAAGGTCCATTTTCATCCACAAATCACTGATCAGATTCGATATGAGTATAACAATTCAACCTGCCGTGAGAGTGAATTTGCTCCTATGCAGACGATGTAAAAGGGTTGTGAAGCGGGAGGTTGCAGTGTTCAGTCGATGAAATAGTTCTGTGGGTGTTCTAGTGGTAGTTACCGTACTCTGTACTATCGAGCCTGTTTACGTTAATAAACTATTAAACGAAATATAAAATGCTGACATACATGTAGTTATTTTGTAATGATGTTAGCGATAGTGATAAGTACTGAAAAATATTAGACCCACAGCAGGCGTATCATTTATGCCGCATATCTATGCCGGCTATAATTCACGCTTGAAATATTCTAGTTTACTCTATTAATTGGCCATAATCATGTAAATAAACATTATATAGGTCATTGGTTCTGAAGAAAATTTAAGACGGAAATTCTAAAGAAAAATGCGAACAAAGCAAGCCCAAGTAACTTATGTAATGGCTTCAAGTTGCGCAAGACACAAGGTGAAGTAATTATTAAGTTTCATTCATGATAACTCTACTGCTCTTGTGAAAAAATAACGATGATGCTTTTTATAAGTTTTGACGCCTATCGTAGGCTCGAGAATGACATATTAAAACATTAGAAAGAAAAAAAAACATTAGAGCAGTATTCTTATTTCCTCTAAACATTTACAATAAAGAAATCATTTTCGTTTTATCTATTTTTCGTTTCATTTCATCTATAAATAAATTATAAAACTAAGTTCTGTAATTTTTATCTGACTGAATCGAATACGTGCTTCTGATGCGGACACAGACACAAACGTATAGCCTGCTAGTTGAAAAGTGACACCTGGTGGAATGTGCGAAGAAACCCATCAAACTTCACCAATAAAAGAGTTTTGTCAGAACTACTGGTCTTAAAGGCTCTAGTATTTTGCTGTAGTTATTGTAAGCAATATGCGTTTGATACATAACTATAAAAAAAACATTAAAATGCATGACATTAGTTTAAAGCGCAGATTGCTGCAGTACAAATAAATTTTCGGTAGTTGAAATGCCACTAGTAAGTTACAGTTCTCAACAAGAAATCTACAGCGGGCGTTTTTTTTGTTTAACTGAACACGAGCCCTTAATAATTTAATTTTATGTTATGGTACGTACAATCGCACTTAAATAAGAATTAAATGTTACGGGAATACAGTGAAGGAAAATTTACAAATAAGGATTGAGGTTCAAATTTGAGATTTTTTTTTTATTCCTTGGTGTTTTAGAGAAAATCCCTGCACTTTAGTCATTTACAAATAGGATTGAGAAGTAGAGTACACGATGCCTTAGCGTTCTAATCATTTTCTGTTTACCACCCAGCCAAATTACCTCAACAGAATCTATATGAGGGTTTATCTGCTTTCAGAAATTCTCTATACGCTCAATCTGGAACGGTGATTTGTATTACGGAAATTATTAAATTAAGTTCTCTTTTCTTTAAAACCCTAAAGACAACAAACTGGAAAGCAGTATTTTAAGAACACTCAAGTTTTTTTAGCACAGTAAACGTAATAGTGGAGTTGAAACTGTTTTGGGCACATCATCTCTACCACACATGCATTTTATAAATATAATGATCACGCTGATAACTATGGATTATGTTTCCGTTGACAAATTAAATCAATTAATTATGTATTTTTCAACCTAAAAAGACGTCCTTCCAATTTATTTTGTGTGTCGGAATTTCATACAGACTACGCAATATGCAATCTAACGTAATCTAAGGTATCAAGATAAAGTCAAAAAGTTATTAATCGCCTTCTTTGTTAGGATGAATTCCTGTGCAAAAATTCAGCATAAATGTGAGAACATATCGTGAGAACTAGATAACGGTCTTATGACTCGTAAATAAAAATGTGAAATAAAGCTATTTTTGTAACAACTGGACACTGTTTATCAAAATGTATAGAGTAACACTGACGGTATGTTTAAGTGTTTTTAGTAGATATTTATTAATATGACAAAAAAAAACTATTAAAAAAGTCGACACATGTGTACAAGGCGGACTTAACCAACGGGACGCATGTAGTCAAAAACTGAAATCTAAATGTTAAAGTAAGTTATTCGGCCATTTTGATGACATATTTGGTGGATATATTCCACCTATAAGTTTGCGACTGTCGACATTGTGACTGAAACCCTCAAGATGCTACATACAAAAAAATATAATTTCAAGGTAGACAAGAAAAAAAAAACTAAAATATAGTTGGATAAACTTTTGTTCACTTAACCGATGCCTTGATCATGTAATTTTATACCCGGAGCCTTGTTTTGTTTAACAATCGTTGTTCTGAGGAATGTAATTCATTTATATTGGGCATGCAAATAGTATGGTAAATATGCAGTGTCCACCCTTGTTTAACCAGAAACCGACAGTGGTTTACGTGGCTTTATAGGCTCTATCTTTGGGAAAGCGCTCTAGCTGAGCCAAGAAAGATTTTGCGGGTTGTTATTAACAGCGACCATTTCATGATCTTCCGATTGTTCGACATTGCTAAACCCTCCCCGCTATGTGAGTAATAACTGCCTAACAGCTACTTTAACAATAGCCTTGGCAAACGTTGGAAAATAACTACAGTAATAAGACATATTTTTATGGTTGTATTTATTATGCCTAGCCTTAACATAGCTCTCAAATATTAGCTTATCTTTTCATATAGAACCTTTTAGAAAGTTGAAGTTGAGAGTCAATAATTTTTTAAAGCAGTAGAACTAATTAAAGGTAATTTAAACGTCCCAACGTAACGGGACGCCACATGCGGCCACTGTTACACTCCGTTTCCTTTAATATGTCGATAAATGGTTCCCGTGAAATAGGCTTCCCATAACAAAAAACGGCTTTTCGTATTCATTTTTGTGAAGTAGGTAATACTAATCTACCTGACGCCTGATTTCGTATTTTGTGCGTTTGTTTTCTTAACATCAAGTGACATCAGCTCATTGCTGAGCTAGGGTATGTATCCTACCCGAATGTTAAACCAACAACCTCTGGTTTCGTGCTCAGTAGCGAATAATGGTGATAAGCAAGTCATGATTACATGAATCCCAGTATCGAAAACCAAACAAATTAAATGACAGTAATGTACAAACTAAATAGAGTGAACCATACACGCAAAATTTATAGTGACTAAAAGACTATACAGTTGCATTGTTGCTGAACCGAGAATAGTTTGTTACCGTGGTCAATGGGAATAGATAGGTGTCACAGTGGCACAGCCTATGCAGTACAATCGGGTAAATTAAGTTTTGGTATGCTAAGGCTTTATATCGCATCGAAAGCTCGTAAAATATTTAGTGCAGAAATGGGGCCTGAAATTATTTATTACACGTGATCCCAAGCAGTGGTTAATGCTAATGAATTAACATATTTTCCAAAAAAAAAAAAAGCGATATTTGAACGTTTTAAAGGAGTATTTTTCCTTCGTAGAGTGTAGGTTTGAAGCATCTTGAATTCATTTACGGAGGCTTGTTAGGTTAGCAGTTTTCAATTAATTAATAAGAAAGGCTTGAGTTCAATACCTAGTATAACTAAAGCTTAGCTAGGTCGCTGTCTTAGCTACGTTGTACTGTCACGTAATATTCAACACACACTGAACAGTGATACAAAGTTTTTTGTATAATTTCACCTTTGTACAATTTCAGCAAATCACCTAATGATAAATAATATAGATAAATTGCACGCACTTCATGCCAACGCCGTTTCAAGGACCTAAGCCGATAACTTGTAATGTCGATGGGCGTCTTGATAAATCTCTCCGGACGTGCCAAGCTTAAAGACGAATTTCTCTTTACTTCGAATAGCATCGATTGGGGCGCAGGGCATATCAGCGGGCGGCTGCCTAAGATCTAAGCAACATCAAATGGTAAAATCCGCCAGGCATCGATTTTTAAACTTTGGCTGGCACTATCGCTTTAAAAAATTTGATTGTATCTTCATACAGATATAAAGCTAATAAAGATAACATTTTTTATGATTTATTTTATCCATACTCGTTGTTTCTCAGTTACAGAGTCACACGCCTTTTTACAGCGATACAGCCTTATACAGATTTATTTGTTCGGCAGGGTTTGTCTTTAAATATAAAAAGGAGTTGTTGATAAAGGTAATAATATCAGCAGGAATTTCGCTTACTTCATACGGAATTAAGAGTTTATGCCAAATTTACTAATTATTTTTGAAAGTGAAGTTTTCCACCGAATTGTGCGCGTATTTGAACGCAGGTAGATAGGGCCGCAGATATTTTTTGAAAACTGCATAGGGGCACAAAGTGTGAAATCATACAGCCACGTTTATTAATTCGTACATTCCTACGATGAAAAACCCTTTAAAAAGGTCCACCCTTAGCTTATTCTCTTGGTCCGTGTTGTTTTATTATATAGGAGGATAGTCCGGTCAAAACAAGTCATGCCATCGTGAGAATCATCCACGTGTTATTAATGAGCTCTGCATCGGATTGAAAGTCCTACCTGACTATTACCCATGGCGTTGCTGTCAATATTACTATCTGCATCCTCGGACATCCCACCAGCCGTTGACATACCGTCACTATTAATGGCATGGCATACTTTCCGCCTATCTTGCAAATTGATATATAAAACTTGTATTGGTGCTGGAAGATGAAAAAACATTTCAAGGGGATGCATATTATAAACATAAATGAATAGACCGTAACCCATGTTGAGTTGAATTAAATTATTACATCCATAGACGATAATTCTAGCACTCAGAGTTCAGCTCTTCTACACGTATGAAGAATTCGTTGCATTTACTAAAGAAAACCACTCGATGTAGCATTGCATATCTAATCGTTAGTATGATAATGGAATTATTAATTCAAACTGCCTGGGTATGATTGTGGACGAAATATAAGGTACCGAGCGGTGTCACATATTTGTGTTATTGTTGCCGTGCTAACAACAGAAAACTTATCTACTTGACTCGCCTACAACTTCAGCGGACTCTTTATTCATCTATACGTCTGATTTTACCATTTCGTTAAATCAAGCATCGATTGTTCAGGCGGCACAACTTATAACAAAATGCAAGTGAAGCCGCGTGAAATTACCAATAATCCGAATCTGTAAAAATAATTCTTCATAATATTCATGAATATCCAGTTTTATGTAGTTAAAAAATTTATTAGACAATCCAATTTGTTGTACTATGACTGCATTTACCCAAGAGCAAGGCAACTGCTATGGCACACGCGATGAAGGCAGTTTCCTAATACCATGGTGAAATTCAATGTGGAATATGTGAGCCTACGTAGGAAATGTCTGCTTACTGTTTCAGTTTTAACCCAACATCGATTGTCATATGCATTTCAAGGAGACAGCAGAAGTTATTTCGAACAAAAAATACCGAAAAATTGTTTGCCGTACTTTCGCTAGAGTGTTAATTGAAAGATTAGCTAGTGAAAGCGCAGAAGTTTAGTCTAGTTTTACCTCAAGGCAAGAAAAGATGCTGCTAAATGTGTAGTAAACGACGTTTTTCCTATATATATATATTGTCAATAATCTTCTAAACAGAATTTGTAAATTTTCTAGGGTTGCTATATATATATATATAAAGCATTTTTTATGAATAGGGTTGATATGATACATTAGTGTTGGTCTTCCCTATACGATAAGCCATGTGCCGAATGAAAAAAATATATAGCATATCGGTTAAGTGACTATCCATGAAATTAGCCATCTATTAGGTGTTGTATAAAACTGACTAAAGTAACTAAATTTACCATCACTAATAGGATCGTTAAATAGTCCACTATCAACAACACGTTCAAATGTTATGTTGTCGACAGCTCTCGTTGACAAAAGAAGTGTTTCATGCCTTTTTGGTAAAAGAGTATCCGTATTTGGGGGTAGATAAAGAGCAATATAATCATAAATAGCCAGTCTTGTACACTGAACATTGCCTGAAGGTCAAATTAGTGAACGGGAGACAGCCTTCATCCACAGTAGTTTTTCAATTTTATGTACCATAGACGGTAATTTCCACTTCGGGACTATTATGATATAATATTATCAATACGGAACACAATTAATTGCTTTCTAGATTTCTAGGGTTTTATTATTATTTCATTTTCGTATATTTTGGGTTATCGATATATACTTTAAAGGTAACGCGTAGCGGTTTAGTTAGAAAGGCGCATCTAGGTTTCGTGCGAAGACTGCATAGGGAACAGGCCTTAAGCTTAAGCGCAGTAAAACTTCGAAGAGATTAGTAACTTGGCGAAGCAAAGATACCTCTGTCATGGAGCTCCGACCATAGCATACAATGACATTAGCAGCCATCCCAGGACGAATCTTATAGACGACATGATCGACTCAAGATAAAAACGATGCTAAACTCGCTCAAACTCAAATGAGAATTTAATGCAGCGTTACAGCAGTACACTTTGTTGAAGTTTTTATATAGATATAAGTAAGCGAATAACTAACAATTCGGTACCATTTTTTATGTATCGATGCATTTCGTTAAACTTTTCACACAGAGAACTTTTTAGCTTGGTATTTTGATACAGATCAGAATTAAACTAAAGCAACAGTGTTGTACGGTTCAATTTATCATATATAATAGATACGATGTAATGGTAATTACTAACCTGCATAGCTGGCTAATTAAAGATTTTGAAACTTTTTTTTATAGAGTTTCGCTTCGTGTAGACAAAGGTGGACATTAAAAATAAGGCATTTACCAAGATTTGAAATTTTGTTGTTACATCACTTTTTCAATTCCTGGTCCATTAGACATCATATCATATCAAATATGATTGCATAGCCATTTATTTTTATACAATACAATTATTTTTAATAACTATAATCCTACATCTGTTTAAATAATTGCACCACAGATCGCCATCGAAATAATATCAAACTGTTACTGACTCTGAATCATCCAGCACCTGCAAGTATCTCTCACTATGTTTATTGGAATTTCATCTATTGTCCCGCTTTAATCCAATTTGAGTGAGATTAATGTTTATTGTGATGTGCTCTTTTAGGTCTCGCCACACATACATTAGTTCCATTTGTCATTCAGTATTATACTCTAATGTATCTCATGTGACCCACTAATCTAATGGAGCAGACTTTCCTTTCTTGCAGTCTTTGAATCTATGACGTAATGGTTGCATAAATACCATTATCCTGTTGCCAACAAACGTTACAAGTATAATCGTAGATTACAACAGCTTCGGAACCCGTCATGTTTCTCTACATAGTTCTTAACCAGTCTTCATTATAAATAACAAGATTTGTGTCTATCTTCAAATACCGTATATTTGATGGATCTTGAAGTGAGTCATAATCTTTCATCACTGATCAAAACATGCAGTAAGGATGGCATTTGCGAGATGTTAGCAAGCGAGACCTCCTGTTCTATCTAGGCGTTTCGTTCCCTATTCAAAGGTATTCGATCCTTAAGAGCCTTTTTTCGCCTGTAGTAAGAGGTGCGTAATAGTCGATGCTACCACTCCGATGTATTATCAGTTAGCTTCCTAGTCGTTCATCCCAAAGTTAAAACCTATGTCCCTACTCCTTAGGTTCTAGCGGTTATCAGTAAAGATCCCGTTTCAGTATCATTATCGTCATCACGCTACATCGTAAGTCAACGTGTAGTGCTAGCTGCCAATATAGATCACATAGAGTAGTGAATTGTATAAAGCGAATTGTGCTCTATAGCTGTATACAGTTTGGCTGTATCACTATCACCATTGTACCGCTGTAGCGCATTGTCATGAAGTTGATTAGGCACGCCAAGTAAATCCTTAAACCAACTCTGGCTCATACGAGTATGTACACGGGTGTATGGGTATGAGCGGGCTACATACGACACGTGCACTGCGGTCCTATTCGCATAACTCGGAACAGTGGCTTCCAACAGAAGCGCTGGACGACGGGCTGAATTGCTATTTGTTAGTCTTAGGCGGTCGGAAGCCGCGTCGAGCTTGTGTTTTCCGCCTTCTCCAATGGCAGCTGCTCCGGAGCATAAACTCTGCCTCGGGCCATGGTAACGAGTGGCGCAAACACACACTCTGTTGATCTGAAGGTAACGACGACAACCTACGCATCGATGGGATACATCGATAGCAAAGCGGGCCGTTAGTGACTAGTCTTTATCCTATACTCAGCATTCAATTGCCAACTGTAAAGGTTACAAGAAGGCGACAAGAGCACGACGAACTAAGGGCAAACCCCTTGGTTACCTGGCCAACATACAACACTCGTCATACGGTTCACCTTCGGCCAATGGATAGACTGCAAACTACGGCCGTCAATGCGATCCGCGCTCCAAAGTCAATTTCCTTTTGGGCAAAGTTCGGAGGGCAGTCATAGCTCATCCTAACCTAGACAAGGCGAACCAGCTTATCCGCTCTTCCACTGTAGAGTTACATGTAAAGTTGCTCTGCTTTAGCGCGCCTCGATGGGTGAGCACAGCGGAGAGCGAGAGCTCCAGGCAGCGTCAACGATAGGTCGCTCGTTGTTGCTGTGGCCGTTAGCCAACATAACAGCAACTGACTGCCGAGCATCGGGCATTAGGCAGTGGTCGGTGGTCGTTTAGTCAGTATTGGTCTGCTTGCCACTGCAGGTCGCTATCTTTAAAACAGACCAGAAAAGTGTCTCTGAGGTGTGTGAGCGTCGTGTCTTTCTTTGTGTGTAAGCGAGTGTGTGTTCGTTCTGGGGCCTGCCGCTGCAATCTTCACTCCAGTAGACGCAACTAGTTAGTGTCTACTACGAACACTAAAAGCCGTCAGTATCAACGGCAAACGTCAAAAAATCTATCCACCCGTTCGGTCGTTTGCCTGATTATCCATACGACGTTTGGTTACTCGAATTAGATGGGTGAGTTGTATTTAACAGTAGGATCGGAATAACTATCGTAGAAGGAGCACCCATTTTGTGTACAAGTGAACGCAGATAGCTGTTGTGTATCCGTATACGAAACTTGGACGATTGCTTATGTAAAAGGTGCTACAGGTACAATGCACAAGCAAAAAGAACATTTATTGAACCCCTGATTCATCTTAAGTGTCGGTGTCAGTTATTTTAGCAGAAACTGTAGATTCACTGATTAGGACAGTCTAAGTCCTTGCATTTTATACCCCGTCACCGTAACAGAGTTGAGCCGGATTTGACGAATGGGACATGTGAAGCGATATGCCAGCCCGAATTTAGAAAGGGCGGAGCAGATGTATTCACCAATTTACAGAGATCCTCGTGTCACTTGTCAGACAAAAGCGTTTCAAGAACTTTATTCACTAATTGTCTATTTATAACACGTCGTGGGCGCGTAAACATCTAAGACGCGTGCCTATAACTCTACTAACTGTAGCTATAAGCGAACTATGATTATAGCGGGCAAACTATAGCATCCAATGCCAGTCAATGTTATTGTATTCCTCGGCAAACGCCACCCACCTATGCAATTACATTTATGGACACGACTTTATCTACGTTTGTTTTTACAGTGGAATTGCCTGTATACGCACGGTAGTCTGCAAATGATCCAATTGGGACACTCGTAACCCGATTTATAGCACCTTAGGTCCTCCTGTTATACATACACGTAAATGCAGACCGACATTCATTCATACCTGTTTTTCTCTTCGTTGGTAATAGATTTGTTATATTCCGAAATCATCGTTTTCCATAGTCGTTACATTTGTATCGTATGAACATACGCGAACAGCTTTTATGCGGTTTTGCCTTAGCTCAAAACTGAATTAACTAGCCATCATATCTCACATTACTCTATCCTTTACAGGTATTATTTTCGGATAAAACCTCATTCCCAACACGAATGAGTGTCTCACTACATTTTGCTTGAATTTTAGTATTAATCTTCTGGCTTTGTCCATACATATTTTAGCATACTTGAGAGATGCAATAGAATGATGGGAGGACATGTTCGTATCCGTGACTAACATGTGGACAGTAACTGTCATTACGTATGGGTATCTGCATCTACAATTATAATTCATATGAGGATTGCTGAGGCTCGCTTCAGGAAAAGACATATTAACGCACGCGGCTACAAAGCGACTATGGGCACAACCGGCCACGTCAGTCCGGTTTCAGGTGATAATGTTTGGCGACTTGCCTATTCCAGCATTATTCTCTAACTCAGTGCTTACATTACTACTTATATAACGGGAAAAGTAGAGACGGGCGGAGTTAGTGAAGCGAGTGGAACATCGAGAACAGAAAAACGGAAATGTCCGGCACAATACAGAATCCACCTTCACTTGTTGTTGCGTAACGTCCAATGCTTTTATGTCTAGAATGACATATCTAATATGATTTCGGAAAGTCTGATAGCGGATAGCTCATTGCGGATGATTGATGATTGCCAAAGACTTATATATGGTCTGGCAATTGTGGAATACTGAACAAGTTCATGCTAACAATAATTAACGGGCAGAAGGACTATCGCCCTGGCTTATGGGTCAGACTTGAAAGAAGAACGAAGTAGAACGACCAGGTGTGATGCATAGCTAACATTTTCTGATCGCTAGGTCTAAAAATCGAATACGCAAAATTTCTATCACGGGTGAATGTTTCTCTTAACTATGAAGGTACCTTTGAAACATTTTAGCTTTTGGAAATATAGCATAACGATTGAAGAGGAGGTATGAAGACG